GCTAAAAATTTGTAAATTAAAAATTAAAACTCCAGTATACTCATAGATAAAAAATATTACAGTAACATCAAAATTAACATTTTATTATGTCTAAAACATATATTTAATCTGTTTTAATACTTACAGCATAGTATTTCATAGTGTTTGAAAAGATTCGTTTCATGTCACTTATACCACGATTCAATGTATATGAATTATCAGTTGTTAAAGCCTTTTTAATATCATTTAATGATATAGGATGAGGAATTCTATTATAAAAGTCACGATACTAAAAGTACAATACATTTAAATAAAATTAGATATTTAGTTTATATAACATAACAAATAATATATTCTTTTACCACTTTTATGGATGGAAGTGTTCGAAAATAATCACTGTCAACATTTTGACAATATAACTCCAATAATATACGCTCAAGTATTTTTCTTTCAGATTTACCAATAGGCATATCTATATATAAGTCCTTTTCATTCAATCTTTTAGAATAAGTTGAAAGGTTTTTACATAGTGTGCACTCATTTCCAATTATTGAGCTAAAAGAAAGAACATATTATATTATTATATTACATTAAATTACATTATATTATATTATATTATATTATATTATATTACAATATATTATAATAATATAAAATAATTCTTAAATACTTTAATTTTCAAATATTAATTACATTGTCTCCTTTCCTAATGGAGGAATATGACACTCATTATGATAAATCCGGGAACAAGATTGGCATGAAAAAAATAATTCATGAGCATGTATCCATTGATTACAACAATTGCAATTTTTTGGTGGTACATAACAATTAGCTGCATTTAAATATAAAAATAAATACATTAAAAAAATCAAATTTAATATTAAATTATAATTTTAAAATATATAGATATATTAACCATTGCTTTGGACATTATTAACAATATTATTAACAACATTATTAACAGATTCATTAGAATCATTTATACAAGAATTGTTACTCATTTGACAGTCTAACACTTGACCTGTTGAACCATCAGATTGTTCCTAAAAATAATTAAATTAAAACAATATTAATATTTTATAAGTATATCAATATTTGTGAAATAATAGATCATAAATCATCAAAAATAATTTTATTTTTCTATTTTTATGTTATGTATTTTTATACATTAATTAGCACTAGAGTTATGAATTTTGATTAATTTTTAGTTGGATGTATCTATAAATCTGTAGCTTCAGAAGTCTTATTTTAAATAATACCTAGATTGAAATAAGTTTTATTCAATCGCCATCAATATTCTAACTTAAAGAAAGTTTTTAATAATATTAAAATAAAAAGAAAAAAAAATTTTATATTATGAAATTGGAAATATATATATAGTGTAACAAAAGCAATAATTCAATAATTTCTAGACTTTGACTATATACTTTTTCGTGTTAACCCAAACATAATAACATTTTTAATAATAATATAATCATAATTTTGATGGAAACGTTTTTAAATTAGGTTATGAAAAACTATAAAAAATGCATCTTAACAACTAATAATCTGTGAAACTAAAATTTAATTATCATTAATTTCATAACAAATTCTAATACATTAATTAAAATTGTTTCAATTATAAGCCTTACACGTTGAAAAATTGAAGAACACACTTGATGTCCTGGTTGAGGAATCACGAACGAATTTATTTTTCCGACATTTTCTATAGCTATATAATAGAGAAAAAAATGTTATTGCCATATATAAATATCATTGTATCAACAATCAAACATACCCAAAAGGCCATTCGTTAATGTTCCTTCAAAATCTAATTCTAGTTTAAATTGATAACTTTTTAAATCTATTGGTATTTTCAAGAAATTGCTTTTAGCTTTATCCACCTTACTCATAAACGGTCTAAACAGATACATAATATGTTGTTAATCATAATTTATACTGTATAGATTTAATATTACATACTTTGATGTTTTAATAACATCCAAAGCATTATCATGATTAAAAAAAATGTTTATCAATTTATCATAGTAAATATTTTTCTGTTTTGATTCTAAAATATCTTTTTTATTTTCGTCAAGTGTTTTTTTAACTTCCTCGAAAAAAACATCAACTTCTTTTTTTAGATCTAATGTACGTTCATTTATTTTTTGATGTAATAATAGCATAGTTTTATCAATTTGTGTTTTTGCCAATTTCCTTTTATCTTCCATTGATTGGGATAATTCATGTGTTTTATATAAACATTGTTCAAAATAATTTGTACTAAAGTCAAATTTTTTCTGATGAAACTTCAAAAATGATTTTAGTTCTTCACCAATATTTGAAAAAATTCGAAATTGATGAAAGCGGTGTTTTATTGATTGACAAAGAGAACAAACTATTACTGAACAATCCAGACAGTAAACCTCAACAGCTCTTTCATAACATTGAGAACATGGTTTAAAGAATTTTTCCTTTATAATAGGAACATGATCATTTGTTGTTTCTAAATGTATTTTTGCACATGATATACAGAACAAATTTTTACACTGTATACACATTTTTTTTGATAATTCATTACATATATTTACACTGCATGTTGTACTTTGAAAAACACCGGGTGGTATAATAGTAGGATATTCTAAGAGGCTGCAATTTTGTGTAATAACTCTACATTTTTTGCACTCCACACCTATAATATAATTATTTAATTTAATTAATTTTATTTATTACCCAGTATTTATCAAAAAAATAATAGAACATAATTTATTTAATAGTCTAATTTAAGAACTTATGATGATAAATATACCTGAATTCTCTCTTTCTGGGATAATAAGCAAACACTTATCGCAAATAAAATGTAGGCAATCTAATAAGCAAAATTTTCCATTTGATATTGTAGAACAAAATGCACATTGATACATGGCCCGTAATTCTCTGCATATTTCTTCTTGTAAAGCCATTGTCTTAACACTGAAAAAAAAAAAAAAAAATCATCAACCTACAAAATAAACTGAAGTTTTAAGAATGTTCAAATTTAAAAAATAAAATCTAACTTGATCTTGATAATGATAATAATTTAGACAAGGCTAGGCAAGTTAATTCATTTGTATGATTCATTCAATAATGTTAATACAGAAAAAAGAGTCAGTCAGGTTTTTAATTTAAAGTTATTAAATAAAATAATAAAAAATAGATAAAAATTAGTAAATGGTTAATACTTGTAAATTAGTAGTTTATAAATATACATATAGAAATAATTTAATAAATAAATAAATGCTTAGTCTGGGCTATTATTATATTTATAATGTACCACTGTTTTCGAATTTAAAATTCATCACCAGGTATACATTTACAATGTGTACAATTTTTTTTTACTAAATCAGCCACAATTTGATTGACTATGTACATAGTTGCATATAGTAGTATAAATAAATATATATATATATATATATATATATATATATAGAGTTGTATATAGTGCAATAAGAATAAAGCACGATAAATTGAGCAGCTTTTTAATCAATGTATTAACTTGATAAGTGTGAAATAATGAACTCTCAACTTTAAAATAATAACTTTATTGCAAATAGTTCTAAGTATAAATAATAATTAACTTATCAAAAATAATGCTTGCTATTATCAGACTAAAACACATCTAAATATTGTGGTCTGTTCAGGAGTACCTTATATACCCTGTTTTTAAGTGAAACTTTGGTTCTTCCTTTTTTCAAGAACTTAATTGGACATAGTCATGTGTTAAGTAATGTTTTATTTCATTATTATATATCTAACTTTTTACAGCGATCCTCTAATATTTTATCTTCATTGATCTTTAAATTTCTTTCATGATTACCTATTATATCCTTGAGTGGTTAACCTCGCAAATTCTGCAATAGCAGAATATTATAATATATTTTAACAAAGTTGGAACATGACATATATTTACGCGTTTGTTTTATTCCATGGCATTTTAGTTATTGCAACCATACTTCTGGTGTCTATGTATATTGATTATAAAAA